ATTCGTAAGTAAGAGATAAAAATAAATAAAACTCGTGTATCTTCATTATTTTTTTACTTTATTAACATTAGTAATTAATGTGATGGATAAGCCTGCAAATCGCTGCACATTTTCTCAAATTGAAGCTTTTACAAGATTTCGCGGCGCCCCTGTGAAGAGACCGCGGCTTCCTGGGGCGCCGCGGCGCACAGTTTGCGAATCACTGCCCTAAGGAGTTAAATAAGGAGGGATTACTAACCTTTTAACACTTGAACAACAGTTTGCGTTTTCCTATAGAATCCAAAAAATGAGAATTTTCTTACTCTCTTTTATGCGCACTCTTAGAGAATCAAAGGTTTCATCAATGCCATGATAATATTTAGTTTGCGTCTTAGTCACAAATTTAATTTAGAATAACTAATCATTAGTATTGATGGACGCATTGCAGAATGGCAGGAAATGTAATGAGTTGAAGCAACACAAGGCAGAGAAGTCCCCACCTTTTAGGCGGGCTCTTCGGGAGTATATCATAAGAAGACTTTATAAAGTTAAGCTAATCGTTTTCTCTGTTACGCCTTCTCTTTATAGAATATTTAATTATTTTTATCTAGATCGGGCTGTTACAAGGCCTTATGTTTAATTGGTAGCGTCGATATAGGTATAATATCTTTCATACCATGTGTAAAAGGTCTGGTTGGGGCTATTTGCATCCTTATAATCGTTTTTTCTCACCTTTTACTACAGTTATTTTAAACTGCAGTTGATATTCGATCCATTTATAGTTCATTCTGAGGATTGATTTATTGTAAATATCTTTTTAATATCCTTAACGGCCACTAAACACCCTAGAATGAAGATCTGATTTTTACTAAATTATTCGATAGAGTAGTACTTGTCTTTGATCAATGTGTAGACCAGACAAACCTAAAGTGACAAGTTGACTTCATTACAAGAGAGAACAGCATCTATATATAAAATTTTACATATGTTGATTTATTTATTCCACTTGATATCCATACCTTACCACTATATTTATCTATTATTAATAGTATTCCTTCATTTTCAAATTTCATACTCGGTTCTCATTTCATCTATGCGTTTTAATTTCCCTTTTCTCTCTTCATGAAAACGTATACTTTCCTTACTATCTTCATTATCATTCATATTCATCCTAACGTTTCTATACTCGGCTGTCATTTCTGCCTAGTTTTTAAAAATTTAATTTTGATATTATGCTACCTTTTAAATATTTCAACTCTTCCCTCCTACATTTAACTCATTTAACTGACAGGACTGTGTTATTTCTGAGCTTTCTGCAAGCCTCTCACATGCCCGCCTTGAAGTAGCCGAGCTAGAGGCCGGGCTGGCTGAGCGTGATGCCCGCCTCACTAGCCAAACTCATGAAATGGCTGACCTTGAAACCCAACTCAATTCTTCCATTCGTCTAGTACAAAGTTTGCATTCTCGACTGGCTCATGGCAGGCAACAGCTTAATAATCAACTTACCCGGCTGGCTCATATTTCTTCCAAAGAACTGCCAAGTGAAAGACAGGTTATCAGATTTTCGTAATAACTTCATTCTGAGCTTACACGAATACCCTACTTTCTCTTCTCCATATGCTAACTTTTAATTCATATCTTTAATATTTAATTTATGATTTTTATATTTCTTTTGGTCTTCTCTATATCTCTATCAGGCCTAGATCATTTATTATATCAATCCCCATATTCACCCATTAAGATGATACAAATTCGTAAATAATGTGCTTAATTCAAAATAAAATTACCGACTATTATGAAAAATGTCCCAAATAAATTAAAAACCAATATAAGTGCTTTAACATATTAAAAAATTCAGAATTTGGCCTAAACCATATATAATGCTGCATTAAAAGCGTAATTCCACTATAAAGCGTCATCAAGTTTTTTAAACCTTGAATGCCTATTTTAAGCTGGTCCAAGGGATAATTCAATGCGTATTTACACCCACTTTCCTACATTTTATTTATTTTGCTCTGATGTAGTTCCTTGAGCTGTCATTAGGGCTAGACTTACATCCTTTCCACCAGAGTAAATCTAAAATATCTTAGTAAAGGATTGAAAAATGGATGACTTAATTGCCGAGTGTTTTACACTATGCTCAGCCCGACTAGGTCAGATCTGGTGGATTGCACCCACTCCACCTTCCGCTTTACAAAATTGTGCATATATTGGCTTAGAAAAAATAAAAATCTGGTCCTAGCGTTTTGTACTAGTTATTGAACTTGAAAGATAATTCGAA